ACATACCATCGCCAAAAGCAATTATTGTTTTTCTGGGCTTGTTACGATGATCAAGAGGAGCAGGAGGACAATATTTGCTTTCATTTTCAGCAGACGATATCTTGACCCCAGTAGACGCCTTCTTGTTATACTTTACACTTCCATGCATTAACCGTTTGCAGATTTCATGCACCCCTTTTGTTTACGAATATAGCATTGAAACTTCAATTTTGATGACCTACAGAATTTTGCTTGCTTAAATAAACGAGTAAAAAAAAATCATACTTTACCCTTACCAGGCATTTTCATTATAGTAACTTGTAATATCATCATACAAACTGGGTCTTTCTTGGCAGGCTTTTGCAAACTCTGTGATATTTGATGTCTTCAGCGAACTTAAATTAGAAATTTTCAAAAACTAAGCCGTGTGTTGTTCTTGATGCTTCTTTCGTATAAAATTTGCATTATTATAACCACACAGATGATAATACTCATCCAAACTTGTTGCCCTTTGCCTTCCAGATGTATCTACGGTGGTTAAGATTGTAGAAACACCTGGGTCTACTCCCCAAATATCAAAACCATTTCGGATGTCATCAATAAAATCTGAGGGACTTTTAGTTGTTGTCAAAGATCTCTTGACAGTTCGGGTAAAAAGAAAAGATATTGAATGACCATCCGTCGTTATAACGTTTCTATTAATGATAATTAGATATTCCTGTATTGTTATTTTACACATACGTTGCCGTGCTGCCACAGGCTTAAGGGCTTCGCTCTTTGTAGTGAGTAAGGGCAAATGTTAATACGACCCTTTAAGCGAATGGCTAAATTAGAATTTTTGTGCACCTAATAACATGCTCCAACTCCTCACTGCATGCTTATTTATTGATGCAATAGTGTTGCATACATGGTTTCATAAAATTGTTTATTCATAATAGAGAGCATATATTTTAATAGTATTATTCATAAAGGTTTATGTGTTGAAAAGAATGGCATAGTGATAGAGCATTCATAATTGTGAGCATAAATTTGTTTGGTGATCATATGATGTGTTATATAGATGGATATATTAATGTATTAGTGAAGTAACAGCTCTGGGTAGACAACATTGTTGGTTGTATTTGAGCTTTTTGGCAGAAGGACTGAGATGCCAGAAAGAGAGGTAACTCTTGAAGGAGCGACATATAGCTGATCAAGCATAGACGACGGACGCCGCAAGTCAACTCCTGCATATTTAAGTGATTGTCCTTGTGATTTGTTAATTGTCATAGCAAAGCATAGCCTGGCAGGAAACTGCTTTTTTGTTAGAATGAATGGTAAATCACCTTCTTGTGTTGAGAGTGTAAACCGAGGTATAGGCTCTAGTAGGCCATCCGGCATATTGGCAAGACGAACCTGAAGCATATAACTGCCAATTCGTACGACAGCCTGGCGAGCACCATTGCATAGACCTCTTGCTGGGTCAGTGTTTCTTAATAGCAATACTGGTGCGCCAACTTTGAGCTCAAGCTTAGATGGAGGCAAGCCGGTAGGGTTTAAGCTGTGTAAATATTCTACAGGAACAATGTGTAAACCATCGGCTTCAATAACATCAGCAGAGTCTGTAGACAGAAGTGTAACCTTTTCGCCAGCCATCTTGTCGAGAACAATGTCGTTGATTCTTCCAACTGTGTCGTTTCTGGTAGTTAATATGGCCCTTTCACCAAAAAATTGACCATTGTTTATCGACATAGAGTTACTGATTTCTTCATCTTTATAGACTTTGCTGATAAATTCATTCAGTTGTCTGGTCTGATAGATATAGTCAGGAAGTGTAATTGAGTCATAAAGTGTATGGTTATATGAAATGTCTGCTATAAACTTTGCAAATGCAATATCATTTTGATTAAAAAGGTTTGTTAAACGCATATTCTGCGTAAGTCTCAAGAGCTGGAATCTTGTAAGAGCCAATATTTTTTATACCTGCGAACGATTGAGAGATGAAGCATTATCTTTTGATATAGATGTTTTTGTTGTCAAGCGCTCCAGGTAGAAAGAGATTGAGAAATCTGAAAACATATGCCAGTTTGTGTAAAAGGTTTCCAATTTTGGAAAGCCCAGTTGTGGACTGCTAGGACTGCTAAATTTTCGCAATTTCTTCGTTGTCATGGCAACGATGCCCCGCTTTAACCCTATTGGTACATGTAGCAATATGCTGCGAAGCGCGAGTCGCGACTTCAAAATTTTTAATTCTTATATTCTACCTGATTGTAGAGATACTTTCTTCTTTTATCTCTTTTTATTGTATAAAATGTCACAAGCTTTTGAAGACGGGGATGGAGACTGTGGTAACTTTACTCCTATATCCAGACTTGAAGTAAGTTCTACAACTTTGGTGATTAGCCTTTATATATATACATATATTAACTGTATGTTTGCTATAGGACATTGGTATTTCTGCTACAGACGTTAAAAAGCTCCGGGAGAATGGTTATCATACAGTAGAAGCAGTAGCCTATGCACCAAAAAAGGCTTTACTTTCAGTTAAAGGCATTTCTGAGGCAAAAGCAGACAAACTTTTGGCAGAAGGTATAGTAATATAATACATGTGTATTACTATGAAATGCTTATTTTATTTTTTCTTATCGTCAATAGCTGCCAAACTCGTCAATCTCGGTTTTACTACAGCAACTGAAGTACATAAGCGTCGACAAGAGGTCATTACGATTACTACAGGCTCAAAAGAGCTTGACCGATTATTAGGAGGTTAGATAAATTAATAGATCATGGGTCATTGCATAGATATATTAAGATAAATCATAATAGGTGGCATCGAAACAGGTTCTATTACAGAGATATTTGGCGAATTTAGAACAGGAAAAAGTCAATTGTGCCATATGCTTGCTGTTACTGCGCAGTTGCCTTTGGATATGGGAGGTGCACAGGGCAAATGTTTATTCATCGACACCGAAAACACCTTTCGACCCAACCGTATTCTTTCGATTGCACAGCGATATTCGTTAGACGGACAAGATACCTTGGACAATATTGCATATGCTCGAGCTTATAATACCGACCATCAGACAACCTTACTGATCCAAGCCGCAGCTATGATGGCAGAGACCCGATTTGCAGTGCTTATTGTGGATTCAGCCATGGCCTTGTATCGTACAGACTACGCAGGACGTGGTGAACTCGCAGCTCGTCAGATCCATTTAGCTCAATTCTTACGCCAACTTCAACGTTTAGCAGATGAATTTGGGGTTGCTGTAGTGATCACTAATCAAGTTGTTGCTCAGGTTGATGGCGCTGCATCAATGTTTAATCCTGATCCAAAAAAGCCCGCTGGTGGTAATATTATAGCACATGCGTCATGTACTCGACTGTATCTCAAGAAGGGTCGTGGTGATACTAGAATTTGCAAGGTATATGACTCTCCTTCATTGCCTGAAAGTGAATGTGTATTTGCTATTCATGAAGAAGGTATAACAGATGCCAATGATTAGCTTACGGAGTTACTATTGAAGAAGAATCTGCATATGAAAACGATCTCACTTTGCTACTTAATGATTATTTATGTGTAAAAAAAAAAAAAGAAAGAAAACAATATTACGAATTGAAGTGTAAATAAACCCTCCCCCCCCCTTTTTTTTATTTTTACATGTTGGTTTGAGAGAATCATCGGGATTTCAACAAACTTTCCGTGATTTTCGAAAGTGACTGAGTTGACACTTGTAACAAATTGTGTTGTTCTTTTTCTTTTTCTTTTTTTCTTTTTATTTTCATTATGCTTAGGTTATCAGCACTCAGGTCAAAAATACCTTTAAGGAATACAATACATCGATCGATTCACTTTCGACCAACCAAGTATTTAAGCTCAACTAGTAAAACAGCGGCTATATGTGTTGCGACGCGACGTAGTCAGGACCATATATCGTTTGCATGGATGCCTATCACATTTATCATTACATCAGCCTTAGTTGGTGAAATGACCCATAAGGAAGTGTTTGCTCTAGAAGAAAATGAACGTAAGAAGATAGATAATGATTATGTATATAATAAAATAACATGTGTGCCCTCTTTAGCAACAGGGGACGCTATTTGTCAAGCAATTGTTCAGAATGATATGAGAGCCTTAAAACGGTATATAGAAAATATATATATATGGAATCGCCAAACTAATATGTCAAAAGATTGGCTGATCATCCCAACTTTAATCCAAACATATATCATCGGTATGGATGGACGCCTTTGGTAATAATAATAATATAAATTTAATTCTCATCGTGCTTATTTGTTTATGTAGCAAGTAGCCGTTATTCAAGATAATGAGCAGATGGTCAAGCTTTTACTTGAAAAGGGAGCAGGTATAGATTATATTATGAATGGTGTTATCGGTCTTAATCATTCCCCTATTCGAGTAGATCCTAACCTTCAAGATCAGTATTATCCTCGATCTCATCAAGCAGCAAATACAAGACAGGTCGAATTTTCCGAGGATCTGTTACCTTATCGTGACTATAGAGAATACACGGCGCTTCATTATGCAGTAATCATTTGTAATCCACAGATTGTAAAGCTTCTCTTAGATCATATGGCTGATCCTTTTGCACGTAATTCACATGGTCTAACTGCGAGAGAGTACTTGTATTACGTAGAAAGATACACAGGAGAACAAAATTTGGAAATCGAAGACATGCTTTACAGTAAGAAATTTTTAAGTCAATTGGATTTGCAACACTAACTAATGATCTGCTGAACAGAAAAGGAGGCATCTTATCCAAAGGATAAAGCTGAACATGAAGAGCGTATGCGTAAAGCACAGCTACAGAAAGAAAAAGAATACCGCAAAAAGCATCCATTAGAAGATGCTTTAAAAACCCGTATAGTTGGCCAATTAGGTCCAATTTATGCTTTAGCTAGTGCCATACGTCGCAAGCAAAATGGATGGCATGATGAGGAGCATCCGCTTGTCTTTTTGTTTTGTGGTTCATCTGGCGTTGGTAAAACAGAGCTGGCTAAAGGTAACGTTCTTATATAGTTAAATGCTGACACGTCTAATACTTTTTTTTTTTAAAAAAAAAAAAGCTTTGGCGCAAAATTTGCATGGAAAGCAGATTGACAAGGGATTTATTCGAATTGATATGAGTGAATTTCAACACAAGCATGATGTATCAAGATTTATTGGATCACCTCCTGGCTATGTTGTAAGTGAGATAACATCAGGCAATACATGTTGACGGATGAATAACCTTTCTTGTGAATAACAAAAGGGATATGATGAAGGAGGACAGCTGACAGAAAAACTTAAAGAATGTAAGTGTTTTTGCCAAGAACAAATCGCAGTTTACAAACTTTCCGTTTCTTTTTTTTAGGTCCTAATGCTGTTGTCTTGCTTGATGAAGTAGAAAAGGCTCATCCAGATGTTTTAACAATCATGTTGCAGCTCTTTGATGAAGGCCGTATTACGGACGGAAAGGGCACAACAGTTGAATGCAAGGACGCGATTTTTATCATGACTTCCAACTTGGCACAACATGAAATTGCTGATGAAGCAGAGCTTTTGAGACTTGAGGCCTCTGTTTCTTCTGATGCGCAAACAAAAGGTGTTGCAACCGTTACATCCACAGATCCTGCACCAGAGAAAAACTTGAGCGACCTTCAAGAAGAACAGCTAAAACATGGGCAAATTTCTTTATCTCGTCGATTCATTGAACATACAATTTATCCAATCTTATATCAGCACTTCAAACGAGATGAATTTTTAGGTCGTATAAACGAAGTTCTCTTCTTCTTACCATTTAGTGATGACGAACTAAAGGAGATTACTTCTCGAGAGCTTTCTAAATGGGCAGAAAAAGCAAGAAAAAGACATGGAATCACAATGACATGGGATGCAGACGTAGTGGACGTTTTAGCTCAAGGATACAACATTCGTTATGGTGCACGTAGTATTAAATATGAAGTTGAAAGAAAGGTGGTAAATCTGATTGCTAAAGCACATGAAAATGATGAAGTGTTGGATGGAGGACGTGTCCATATAGTGGTTGATAAGTCTATAGACAAAAAGGCCCGTATTTGCAAGATAGAAATTCCTGAACGCGGTGGTGATGATAAAAAGAAATCTGGTGGTTGGTTTAGTAGTAAAATTTAATGATGAATAAAAAATAAAGTATTTGCAAGGATAATGCTAGTCATCCCACGTTTATTCCTGTTCAATTAAAAGCCGTAACGCGCTCTCTTTTTGCGCTACAAATATCTGCCATCGCTTATTAAGCTCACTGAAGCATGACACTTTCTGCGGAGTATAGAATACCATTTATGGTGACCCTCTGGACTCCCTTTGATTTTTTTTATCTAGCCCTGAAATAAGCGAAAATGCTCTTGCAAAGGACATTTTCTTTAACACTTGGTAAAACGGCTCGTTGCCATAATTTGAGCCTTCTTCGTCCACTTGGAAAGAGCAACAGTCAGAATTTTTCGACATTATCAGCGTATAGATTAGCTAAGCCTTTACGAAATAATAGTGCTTTATCACTATTTCACCAAAAGATTAAAGCTAATGCGCCCTTAATTCCAACTGTATATCACCAAAAGCATTGGACTTCCACTGTTACCGTCAAGCAGGACGAAGAACCAAAAGAACCTGTCCGAGTACTCTATAACAATTGGCTAGATCGCTTACCTGCTAAACTTGCACCTTACGCCTTTTTAACTCGTATTGATAAGCCTATTGGTACATGGCTTTTGTTCTGGCCATGTGGTAAGATTAAGACTCTTTTCAACATACTACTCTGTACTTATACCCTCTTGTATAGCCTGGAGTATTTCAATGGCAGCGTATAATACCGGCAGCTCCATCATGGACGCTGCATCCATGATTACCTTATTTGGTATTGGAGCCTTAACAATGAGAGGTGCAGGCTGCACTATCAATGATTTATGGGATAAAGACATTGATGACAAGGTAGAAAGAACAAAGATCCGACCCATTGCAGCTGGCTTGATTACGCCTAAGCAAGCCATCGGCTTCCTTGGTTTGCAGCTTTCCGTTGGCCTTGCAGTTTTAACACAATTGAACATGTACAGTATTCTGCTAGGCGCAAGCTCTTTATCACTTGTTGTTACATATCCTTTAATGAAAAGAGTGACCTACTGGCCACAAACAGTCTTGGGTCTGGCATTCAACTGGGGGGCTCTTCTCGGTTGGTCTGCAATGACTGGTTCATTGGATCTATCTGTTGCCGGTCCTCTCTATGCCGGAGGTGTTTGTTGGACATTGGTGTATGATACTATTTATGCTCATCAAGACAAAAAGGACGATATTAAGGTCGGTGTCAAATCAACAGCTTTAAGATTTGGAGAAAAGACAAACCAATGGTTAACTGGGTTTTCAGCTGCATTCGTATCATCAACTGCTGTTGCAGGATATATGAACGGACAAGGTCTACCATTTTATGCAATCAGTGTCTTGGGTACAGCATGTCATCTTTTTTGGCAGTTGAAAACTGTAAATTATAATAACCCGGCAGACTGCTGGGCGAAATTCAAAAGCAATGCGTGGACAGGCGCCATCCTTTGGTCAGGCATTGTCGCTGATGCGGCATGGTCATCCTCACAGTTGGCACTAGCATAATAATAAAATCATAGATCGTATGTGTTGTATTGGAACATTTGTTCATACAAAACTGTTTTTTATCCTCCAATGCATATTCAGATCATTTAAGTGATAAATTGCTTCGTACAGTTAAAGACTACTACTACCGTTACTACTATGCATGGTCAGATATCAACGGTAAACGAAAATGACCAATATTATTTATTAATCTGCTTATTGTGGATAGGGTGGGTAGCCATACTGGTGTTCTGGAGGCTTGTTATCGTTTGAAGGTGGAGGATAGGCATTTGGTGGAGGAGGATATCCAGCATTTGAAGGGTTAGGGGAAAATGAAGCTGGTGGGTAGCCTGTGTTGTTAGGATAAGAAGGCGGGGCGTTCATATAATTTGACGCGGATGGAGGTGCTTGTGGATAGTTTCCAGAAGGAGGGTAGCCTGGCATAGATGAAGGCGGTGGGTAAGCAGAGATATTGCTCTGTCCTTGATGGCCAGAAGAGCCAGGAAAAGGCTCAGGAAAGTGTGAAGGAGATGTAGGAGGTTGAGGGTAGCCCGCAGGAGGAGGATAGCCAACGTTTTGCTGGATATGGGGTGGATAACTGGGCGAGCTTGTTGAAGGTGCGGGCTGAGGGTAGCCAGGAGAAGGCTGTAGCTGTGGAGGAGGAGGAGGATAAGAATGATCGACGTTACCACTAGGTTTTGGATATGCCTGTGATGAAGGCACTGGGAAGTTAGCTTCACCATAGAATGAACCATATTGTGCCAAAGCAGGATCAATGCGAGATTGATCAGGTCCATCTGTCGTGGGCGTGGGATTTACATTATTTCCAGCGCCTGCCACTTTAATATCATCTGGAAGCTTTGTAAGCTCGGGAGGTGCGCCTACTTCCGCACCATATCCAAGTGTAGGTATACCAAATCCCTCCTTTTTGTGCAAAGGCAAACTGGTGGTCGCTATATTCAATGCATGTTCAAACTGTTGATAAGGCTCAAAGTGCCATTGTTGATTCAAATTATCAGATTCTTTGCGCTTGTATAACAATATCTGTGCTCCTCCTTTTGCGCTATCTCCCTTAAGTATCAATTAGCTTGCCTTTTTCTATTATGAAATAAGATATAATGCAATTTACCCTAATATCCAAAACAAGTGTAGGATATTCTTTGGAGCAAATAAATCCTTGGTCATAGACCCACTACACCCGAGCAATTTGTTAGACATGCTCTTTTTCATTATCGGCTCGGTTATACCTCTTGAGACTGTTTACTCGCTTTGACCTTCTTCTGAACAATTGTTTTATCCTTCTTGAAAGCGCCTACAAAAAATAAAAGTGTGTTCATCCTGTTTTACTAATAAAAAGAAGTAATTATATTTACTGGAACTAATGTCAAGTGCTGTGGATAATGTGTTAGTCCTGAATAGAAAAAAAACCTTAGTTTTACTTACCATGTCCTGATTTCTTATTTATTAAGCGTCCATTAACAAAAGACCATAATCTATTTTCAGGGAGCTAATCAGAGGCTAAAGTAATACAAGTGACTATGTCCTTACTGGTTATCGCTGTCTTGGAACTTTTGTGGCCATACAATTATATTAGCACCTTCCTATAACCGAAAATAGCATAAGTTTACACGCCAATACTTGTAATAATTTGTCCAGTTACCGTCGTTTGTCCGTCATAGACGTCTAATGCGAAGCCATGCTTTCGAGATAATATGTAAAAGTAACCTTCAGGAAACATCCTAAAGTTTTAGTTCAAAAGCAAAATAAAAGTGCAGCATAAGTGCTGAGAAAAGCTAATAGATTAACACAAACAACCCAGCCACTTCGGTGCATTTTTCTTATCGGAAATCAAAATAGATCACACATTTTATTTTGATTTTTTTTTTTTCAAAGTAACGCGCTTTCCGTTTTGCCCAAAATACTCTTAAATAATCTTCAGTAAGCTTGAATTAGATTAGCGGACGTAGTAGTAGCAGTAGCAAACTGATTATGAAATTATAGATAAATTGGCATAAGTGCCTTTACATTTAAATCTGCAAATATCATGTCTTCTTTCATCAACAGCGAAAACGACAATGTTATCAGCATTAGTAGCAGCACTAGCTATAGGTAAACTTCAATTTTTTTTTTTTTTAAAATACTCAGTTTTTTCTTATGTCTACTATTAGATGCTTTCTGAATTGTGATATCTATTATCAGGAGGCACCATTATGTAACAGATCAACTGAAAGTCGTATGTACTTGGATGAGAGCCGTTATTCTAGATGGAGGTGTAATGGAATTATTGTTGACAATATTACCGGTAACAGATGCTGTAATGGCAAGGAAATGACAGTCAGAAGGGATAGTTTTTTTCACAATAAAAGAATCAGTGTGCGCCAAGTGATGGCTATTCTCTATGGTTGGTCTTTGCAAATGAGAAGATCCAGAATTGCTGATTTCGCCCAGTGTACAATTGACACTGTCAACAGAACGATTTTGGACCGGTACCAAATGACACAAGAGGATATCCAGGAGAACGACTGCGTTATAGGTGGAATTGACGCAGAAGGAAATCCAATCGTTGTTGAAATTGATGAAAGCAAGTTCGGAAAAAGGAAGTACAATCGTGGACATCATGTCGAAGGTTAGTCGTCGTTTAATATATAATTAATCATCATAGTCATACAATTTTCCTTGATTAGGTGTTTGGGTAGTAGGTGGTGTGGAGCTAACTCCTGAAAGAAAATGCTTCCTTGTGGTTGTTCCCAATCGAACTGCCGATACGTTAACAACCATCATACGACGTTTTGTAAGACCTGGTTCCACCATTTATACAGACTGTTGGACTGGTTACAGCAACCTCGAAAGTCTGGGTTATGTACATAGAACTGTAAACCATAGCCAGACTTTTCGTGATGGCGACGTGTGCACTAACACAATTGAAGGTAACAATTTTATTTATATTGATTATCTGATTATCTTTATCATTAGTATTTTCTAAATTGATTTTTAGGTACTTGGAATGGTATAAAGATGAATATTATTTCCCGTTATCGCGGTAAAAGGATGATGCTGTAGCAAGACTAGCTACACTTTTACATATTTATTATATTGTACAACGCAGACTTCAAGAGGTCTTTTACACCTTCAAAGGTCTTCAACACCTCCAAAGGTCTTTTTTTCTTTTTATCATTATCCATAACATTTTCAACAACATATAAATATCCTCTTATTTTTATGAAGTAAACAACAGTGAATTCAGTATTGAAATTAGTAAAATAACTACTCAATCATTCATCCTTTTATATTCTTTTCTTATTTACTTTTACAAGTCTTAAAGACTTTTTATTTTATCTTTTATCTTTTGATTTACTTAATTGATCTGTCAAAGACCTGGTGGTCACAAACAAGCAACCTACTCGTACAAAAATATCTAACTTTTACAAGACTTAACGACCCTGAATCTCTTTGAATCCTACTTTAAACTCTTATATACAAGGCAGCTTAACAAGGCATAACCCGTCACAATGCCTTAGCTCTTAATTGAGTTTATCTAGTAAACCAGCATGGTTTACAGAGTTTAGTAGCCAAAATACTAATAATAATCAGCGTGAAACAGATGTTAACTGGCAGATCACTGAGTTACAATATAAATGTGACCCTATCATTATTCCTCTTTCTCTTTCTCTTCTCTAAAACTTTACCATTTTGTTTATTGTAATCCAAAAACTACCAAGCGTATGTTGATATGAAAATTGACCTTGTTTTGTACCAAAGTTGGTTTTTTTATATATATAGTCACGTATAAATACATAGAGACAGTTCAAAAAAAACACTTGTCACATATAATTTCCCTAAGAGTCGCTTTTTTTTCCTGTTTTTTTTTTTTTTTTTTTTCTCTTTTTCTATACAATAGTTCAACCTGTTTTGAGAATGACAAATCAATCAGATGGCTTACAGCAGATTATAGACGCGCACTTTACAAACAATATAAAGTGGGATCCAGAGATTGTTGAGATAATTTTTACAAAGGAGCTTTTACCTTTTGACTTTGCCTCACACAAACTTCAGCAATTAGAAGCAGCTGAATACTTTGAAAAGGTATTATATACTTTACATATTGTATCTTTTCTAATTTTGCTTGATAGTATCTATGGCCACATTTTGACTCTACAGCCTCCGTTAATCACATTATTTCAATTTGCTTGATGCTAAACGAGAAATTTCATCAAAACGCGGTCAATTGGGGTACAGAATATGACTTGTAGATACATTCAAATCACTAACTCCCCTTTTTATAGACAAACTCTTGGATTCTGAAAGATTTTTCAATCTTTTTCAACGCGTTATTCGATTGTTGGGTGATGATGATGTATCATTAAGCTGTCAAATACCACCAATTACTTTTCTGATTCACTGTCTCCAAAGCTTTGATATTGCTCCTGTACAAACAGAATGTCTTAAATTATTCACTATTGGAATCTGGTCCAATTTGGCTTATGAATCAAGACGAGAACAGATGTTTACTGATTACCCTTTCTTGAGAAAGTTATGGAATTCGAGCAATAAAAAGCTAAATGCAGCTAGTAAGTGTACCAAAGAAATTAAACTTTTGTATTTCTAATCATTTTATAGATGAATCAGCAAAGGAACAGCTATTGTACGAAAGAAGCTGGCTTTGCTTATTGTTGAACAATTTTGTGTCTCGGTTGTATACAATTCCTGCTGAAGGAGAAGGTTTGTTTGATCATTTTATCATTTTTATAAAGACTAACATAATTGATGCTAGTTGACAATCACTTGATCAAGTATAACGAGCTTGTTCTTGAATTTTTGGTAACTTTAGAAACCCAATTTTCAACACGTCGATTTGTCAATACACTTCTTGATGACCATCAAATCGTCGTATTATGTCGAATGGCACCTTTTAATCAACAAAAGACAAAGGACATTGAATTACTCAAGTCTCTTGTAGACACTTTAGCCTTGTACGCAAAATTGGAAGTGAATGATCATACTGGAGCTGCTTTGTCAAATATCGAAGCTTTAGAAGCTCATCGTCAACAGCTTGTTAAACTACAGGTAAGAAGCCTCTTTATGCTTTTTGCAATCTTTTTCACTAACTATATATTAGCATATCGCCTTTCGTCAATTTAGAGACCATCTAAAAGAGCTTCCATTAACCAATTTGGCATCCATTGAAACTCGCGAGAATTTGCTGTGGCATTTTAAACCACTTTCTGAAGAAACGCTTGTACAACTATGCAAGTGTCTTGAAGTCCGTTTCGAGCCCATCAATCAAAGCATTGGAGTAGACCTAAAAGAGTATTTGATAAATGCACTCGTCCTAAAGTATGAAAAGCCTCAAAAATTAGCTGAACAAACCAACAAGCAGCCTCTGTACCCTGATGAAAATGTGATATTTGACAGCGCCATGACACAAGAGAACCCATACGATCGACCACTTCCCTTTGCTAGATTAAACTTACAATTCCTTACAATGAATGATTATTTGTATAGAAATTATATTCTCCTTCAACAAGAAAGCACATATAAAATTAGAAAGAATATTGTGGACGTAGTCAGGCGACTTTCACCTCAAGTAAAATTCCCAGAATTTACAACAGTATTCACTAGTTGGGCTCGTATGGCTACTACCATTGACTCCTTCAAGTAAGTACATTATATATAAAAAGAAGCAAGTTTATTCATTTTATTAGTATTGTGGACATTGCTGATATCAAAATTGGTGAAGAAAAACCAGCTCATGTTTTTGCAGATGTAAGCCTTTAGTCACACACTTTATTCACAAGTTAACTCTGTCTGTAGGTTTCTATCAACCTTGGCAAATATGCACGCAATATTCGTAATGAATGGGATAGTCTTCGTAAGCATGACACTCTATTTTTGATCACGATTGAAGCAAAAGAAAAGGAACCTGGAGCAGTAGATATGGATGAGGACTTCAGAGAGCAATATGGTATTAAATATGTTCGTGGATGTGAAATTGTCGATTTTATCGGTGTTGATGGTAATGATATTCATTTACATATACTGTTTAATAACTCTTTTGTTTGATTAGGACGACCAATTGATGAAGTCTCTAGACCTCGACCTGAAGATAGAAAAGATAAAGTGAAAGCTGGTCAACGTACTATTCGTGTTGAGCTTGATACAGATCAATACAAGGTAAGAATGCATTCTGTCAAAGGAAATAGTCCAACTAAAAATGACCATAGATCGATACTGACAAACAGAGCAAACAGCACGGCGAAGATGTTTATACTACATTCAATGTTTTAATGCGTAGACATCCCCAAGAAAACAACTTTAAGCATATATTACAGACGATTAGAGAGTTATCACAAACAGATACTGACATTCCTAGTTGGTTACAACCTGTAATCCTTGGTTATGGTGATCCTTCTAGCACACATTACAGCAATCTCAAGGACCGCATTGAAGAATTCGATATGAGAGACACATTTGTGGATAGAGAGCATCTATTGGAAAGCTTTCCAAACAAGACATTGCAATTTATTGACGACTCGGTGCCATCGGAAGAATCATTCTATCGATTCAAGTTATTAAACGATCCAATGGAAGAAGATTCTGTCGTTACAAAGAAGACCAAGAAAACAAAGAAAGCAGAAAAGGCTGTCAAGTCAGAAACATTCGAGGTCAAACCTTATAAACTCACAAGTGATAATCCCTACATTCACGGCAACCGCAAGCGTAACACAATCCGCTATACACCCAAACAAGTAGAAGCTATATACTCCAGCATGAACCGAGGTTTAACCATGGTCGCTGGTTCATCAGAGGCTGCAAAAGTCGATGCTATTGTCCAGACTATTTCCAATCTACATCATAACAATCCTCAGCAACGCACACTCATTGTTGCAAGCAATAACGATTTGTTGAGCCGTATCCTTGATAAAGTGATGAACATGGGTATTGATTCACAATATATCTTACGTATTGGACATGGCGATCAAGAATTGAATCCTGAATACAACTTTAGCAAATACAGCTGTGTGCCTCCAATATTGGAACGTAGAATGTCTCTTTTACATGAAGTTGACAGGCTAAGTCAAAGTTTGAATATTCCTGGCGAGCATGGATCTACATGTGAAACAGCTATCTACTTTTACAAAGCTCACATCTTGCCTCTTTGGGAGAATTTCACAAAAGCTTTAGACTCTATTAGTGACGTCCAAAACTTACAAAAGATCTTTCCTTTTACTCAATTCTTTACTGATACTCCTGAATCAATTTTTGATGAAAAAATGAACTTGGAAGAAGCCATGGAATCAGCTATGAGCTGTAAGCAATATCTCGACAACCTCTTTGACCAACTGAAGAGAATAAGACCATCCGAATTCTTAAAATCAAACTATGATCGAGCAAACTATGTTTTGACAAAGGAGGCCAAGGTTATTGGTCTAACTGCTGTCCATTCGGCCTTAAAGCGACCTGAACTGATCAAGCTTGGATTCAAGTACGACAATGTGTTTATGATTGATGCAGATCAGGTTTTGGAAATTGAAAATTACATTACACTGTTGCTTCAAGAGAATGAATCAAATCTAGAACGCATCGTGCTCATGGGTGAAGACAAGCAGATATCAGTTGCTGATGACACTGTATTTAACAAGTACGGAAACTTGAGTCAGAGCATGTTTAGACGATTCATTCGTCTTGGAGTACCCGTGATTCGATTAGATTAGATTGTAAAGTAATATGCCAATTGAAGCCCTTGTATCATGAATAAACAAAAACATTCTTTATTTTTTACATGCAATCACATAATGATTATCTCGGTCATAGCCCGTTTCTTCAATGACAACATCTTCTACTTGGCCAAATAACTCATTCAGCTCCCCTTCCTTAAATAAATGATAATATCTATTATATACAGGAACATTATCTGCGTCTTTAGTTCCCTTTGTGAGCATCCAAGGTACGAGAACATCTTGCTGTCCAGGTTTAAAGTCTCGTTTACTGAATTTTGTCTGCTCTAATGCCCAGACAAATACAAGCATTTTACCCCCTTTCTTTACGATCCTAGCTATACTCTTGATAGCTTCTAGTCTTCTTTCAGGGCTTGCAAAATGATGAATAACAGCTATTGATATCGCAAAGTCCTGTCCTTTTCTTTTTAATATGCAAAACAAAATAAAAAAAGGCTCAACTTACAAATGTGTTTGATCTATAGGGTAATTCAAGTGCATCAGCCACCATTCCTTCATGACCACGTTGATTTACAATTTGAACAAGATTTCGACTCCTAAGAAGAGCATTATAAACATGGACACATTGTTTAAAACCAAAAATACCTATCCGAACCAAGAATGACAATGTTGGGATTGACACCAATGTATTTACCATTACCACATCCAATGTCTGCTCCTAAACTTCCTGGCTTCATCGATTTCAAAAAACGTTCAACTACAGGCCAAGGCTATTATAAAACCGTTATTGAGATAGATCATAACAAAGAAAAAAAGCTACTGTTACTTTGTAACGCGTATCACTAAAATGTTCAGCAATAACTTCATAGACTTCATGAACATTCTTTTGTTCATATTCTGGTTCTTTACTCTCTGGTGGTCTAATTGGCACTGGCTGTGGTTTACTCATTGGCAAGTCAAATAAATGAAAAGAACAAGGATATATAATTTTTTAGACTTTTTTTATTTATTTGGTGGATTGATCTGATCGCTTTTTTTAATTCGAACTTCATCACCAGGACGCAACCATGTTCCATTCGTTTCCCTGTTAAAAAGTTAGTAAGGGAGAACTCCTTTCTTTGAAATGACTTACTCTTCATATTGTTTTATAAGTGGTTGAAAAACATAGATACCCGTTGCTACGCCAACTCCTACAGCTAGAGCAATTTGAGGAAGCTTACTGCTGAGCATTTTGTTAAAGACGGTCTAGAATTTAAAAACAATGGGTTAATTGACTAGACCAAATGATTTATAAGGTCACCTTTTAAGGACAGTGAGTAAGTGAGAGAGAGAGAAAGAGAATAGATTTTTAACAACCGCTTTTACCCACTACTTGTTTCAATTAAAGAAAAAATGAGTGAACAGCGAGAAACAGGTTATGGACCAGGTAGAAGAAAAGCTGTTCGTAAAGGAATGTTTTCAAAAGATTGTAAGGGACATAATTGATATGATTGAACACATGATTAACAATGTCTATAGTAAAACTACTAATGTATGGCTTTGGTGATGTTGCTAATCCTGCATCAGATTCCATAGCTGTGATGGATGATTTAGTAATTGATTATATTTCAGAAATGGTAAATAAATAAAAGCATAGTAACTTATTCATATAACATGTTTGATAGTGTCAAAAAGCAGCTGAAGTAGCAGATAACAGAGGCAAAGTTAAAGTGGAAGACTTTAAATTCGTTTTACGTAAAGATGCAAAGAAATTAGCGCGTGTGGAAGAACTGTTGTACATGAGTGAAGATATCCGTCGAGCTAAACAACTGTTTGATGAAAAGGAAATGGATCCAGCTGATGAAGTGTAAATAGTTTTATTATTATTATTGATCAACAATTTCAATAAATTTTTTGATATCAACCACCTTTTGACCACACCTTAAGCAGAGCCATTCATCACCTACTGTTGATAGTTTGGACTGTATACAATAATAACAATATGTATGACCACAATTTGTTTCATAGGGGTTATGAATAGCAAAATCCTTTCCATTGTCATTTTCATGACATATAGCACACTGATCCAAAGGTAATTGATCGTATCCCTTGGATAAGATAAATGACTTTGGTAGTAACATATGCATCACTTTCAATTTCAATTTCTCAATGTTGACCAATGGCACCAAGAACAGTAAGAATTCCTATGATATATAATGATATAATGTATGCTTTTACAATATCAATATTTACTTACAGTAAATGCATGCCAGACCATCTGTCGATTCAAGAATTCAAAGCTTACTTCCCTATTGACAGACTTTTTTGCATACACTAGCCTCATACACAGCAGACGGTCGATCAAGGTTCGATATTTGCCATTTCTTAAAAAGACTAGAAAGTTCATAAAGGACAGCAATTTCCAATACTTCTCCACTACTTGAAGTATTTTGTATGCTCTATGCCTAATATCATCCTCTTCCAATTCTCCCCATCCTTTCTCTGTCGTCAATCTGCTCAGTCTCGTCCACACATATTGCCCTCCGATCGTCAATAGTCCATATCCAATCTTTTGTGACTTGGTCAATGGTGCATCTTTGGCAATAGATTCTACTTGAAGGGAGTGAGCAATTATTAAGTATAGGTAGTCTGTATGATCTACATGGTCCTTTATGCATTCTTTCATTTCTATACTTTAAATTCTGAAGTTGTGCGCCGTAAGTTGCTGAACTATCATAGAGTGAATATTTAAACAGCACCAACTGAATGACTGCAAGTAGTTCTGGTTCATATTTTTCTTTAAATGTTGTCTATTTTGTAGTATGAATGATACACACACAAACAGTCTTACAAAAATACAAGCTTTACCTTGAAATAAGAAAGTGCACTCCATAATTGCTCGCTTAAGATGTCAATCAACTCTTTATCTAAAATGTCGGAATCAAGCTGACTCACTCTCATAACTTCTAGTGACGAAGACTTGAGAGACGATATAGACTTTCTAGCTCTATCTAAAGCAGGTTGGATTTGTTTCCAGTCAAGTTTCCAATCAGGCACTGCAGTCTCTGAGGGCAAGTATTTCATATTATGTAAACAAAGGAAAAGGGTGGGATATACACACGGAGTCCAAAATTAAAAAAGGCTGCACTTGTTGAAATTCACACATGACAGCAACTCTTTTTGTAAAACACAATTGAATCTGTTTGATACATTTTATAAGAATATTGAATGCAAGAGGCTAATCGAATGATTTTAGCTTCCAACCATAGTGATATGAATATTCTCTTTTAAGATGCCACATTGGCCAATAATGCTTATCCAACTTGAGTGTCGTCAAGTGAACGACATTGGCGATGGTAGTATACTTGATTTGAACATGAGAGTCGCTTTGAAAGTCATTATCTATCTCGGATCGCGCTTGTGATGCATCATCAGTCGGTGACAAGATCAGATCTTGCTCGTTAGAGTCTAATTCTTGATATTGAAATAAACTCTTGGGCTTTGTCGGCTGTTTACTGCTCACTGCTGCAATAAAATCTTTGAGAGACGTGACAGGTGTTTGATTGATCGCATGTATCCAAACACCTGGTTCGAGAGATGCTTGAGCAGGTGAACCATAAAGACAACAGGATACATAAACTCCTTTAGGTACACACTTTTGTACTTGTTCTTTGGCTGCCCGATGAGCTTCTTGAACCAACATTCCTTGCCATCCAACGACTTCAGTCGTTTCCTTACCATCATGTTTAGTAGTGGAAACATCTAGTGTGAGCTCCTTTCCATCACGAAGAATGGTCTGTTCAAATAGGTTAACTATATATATCAATAAATATATATGTAATCCTTACCATAGTCAGCCTGTCGGTATCATTAAATAATGCAAGGTCTGATAGTGTTGTTATCACTCTATTATTCATTTCCAAAATCATATCGCCACTTCTTAATGCTTTCCCAGAAGGCGTGGACAGATCCGTAATCCCTAAAACGCACAAGACGGATGGCTGCATAGTTTTATCACTTGCTTCTTTTGTCACTTTATGTATCCATTCTTCCTTTAAGCCCAAAAGTCTGGCATTAGACAACTGTAATGTCCAAAACTCCGCATCCAAACCATATACAACAGGCTGTTTTCCTGCTTTAATACAATCCAGCACAGGGAGTACTAAGCGAACGGGAATACCGCCAGTAATACTTGATAGTTTTTTTGCTTCGTTATCTATTGAAAAATTCATCCATATAGCACGAACATGCCCTTGATCATCTGCAAGCACTCCACCTAGACTTGACAAATTGCCGTCTGCCACTTTAAATATATCAACGTTCATTGCTCTCCATCTTGGTGGCGAAGTTTCCTTGGTACGAATGGGAACAAGTGAAGCTATTGTTGTTGTTTGAGTGTTAATCTTGGGGCCGCCTATACAAACACTTGAGTTTAATCAGACATTAAGCAATGTTTCTTTCTCTACCTGTAAGCCCTATATATTTTACAGTGTCACCAAGACGAAAATCACGCTTATCCAGTACAGCAGCCTTTATCTTGATTCCCGCTTGAATGATGGCTTGAGGATCAAATTTCAAAACAGCAAAGTTATAAAAAGGATGCAAAAATAACAATTCGGCAGGGACTGTGAGCGAGTGTTGAAATGTGATGGAAATAACGCCTATTCCGATTGGAACAGTGTCACGATCACAGATAATGAGAGGAGGATCAAGCGAAACGATGATGCCTGCTCCGTACGCATAACCATTTCGACAACCATCAATTACAAAAGGAGTCTTGCACTCAACCGAAACAATGCTATAGACTAGCCTTTTAAAAGGATCTTTTTCTTCTTCTTCTTCTTTTGATAATGAGCTATTGGAGGATACGTTTGCTGTAACAGGTTTTACTAAGCGGCTATCTAGAGGGGTCGGCAGCCTTTCATAATCCCATATGCCTGTAATATCTATACATATATTTACTTTAGCTAGAGGAGACTATATCATACACATCCTTTTCAAATCTTACCATTTCTTTTTGCTAGCTGGAATTTATTCCAGCGCCAATCTACTTGTAGAGCCTCTATTTTTGTCTTCATTGGTCTTGATAAAGAATAATATCGAATAGGCACCCATTCTCCTTGACCAATATCGGATATAGCAGAGACAAAGTCATCAATATTTTTGACTTGCTTGTTGTCAACCGCAACTATAATCGACTTTCGTGATGCTCCAGCGTTTCCGAGAAGGAAGCCAGAAGTGCCAACGTATACACCACCTTCCTTAAGAGACAGTCCGTAAGATCTTGCTATTTGATAAGACAAGTCATTCAGTACACCTCCACCAAATTCAAGATATCTTGAAGGCGTGATATCATGTAGACTCTGTACATCAATCGTAACCTTTTTAGGCTCTCCTGCTCGTAGAACCATGAAGCAAACGGATGTCTGAGTTTCAACTGCATTATCGAGTATAGTTTCTAGATCGATAAACAATTTCGACAATAGTTGATTGTTACAAGTTAATAAAATATCGCCTGGCTCGAGCTTGCCATCAGCAGGACCTCCATGTAGAACAGACTTGACTACAAGCAATCCTTCATTTGTTTCTGTTGTTAGAGACGAATTGCGAACGGTTCTCAACTTTCGCTCAACTTGGCGACTGAGACCTAATTGCAATAAACCTTCATACGGCATGAATTCAAAGGTTGCTTGAACGGTTCCTCTTGGAACCGGCATCCCCCTTTGTATGAGGCCCAGAACATGCTGAGCACGATCGAGTGGCAAGTAATAACCGGCTGATGAAGCGATTGCTACACCTGCATTAAGGGCTATTGCTCTACCGTATACGTCTAATACCGGACTACCGCTTGAGCCAGAGCTTGTGCCTGATGCCGCTTGATAATAAAACGTGTTGAAGTCGTTGTATTCACCAATACCATAGTTAGGTGTCTCTCTGTCTAATCTTGCTAGAGTACCCGATAATATACTTAGTTTTTCACCAGCATCGTTTCTTTATAGATGTAAATTGTTAACACTAAGCTTTTATTAAATCAATATAGACTTACCCCAGAATTTTTACCTCCTGGCCTATTTTAGCGCCTTGAGGGTAAAGCGGTATACCGGGTATTTCAGAATATCTAATCTTTGATACATCGTATTTAAAAAACCCAAAGTCATGTACTGGATCTCGGTAGATTGGTACTAAATCAATCTCTTCGTTATTCCAAAGTATTGCCTGAGCCACTGTAGGTGAGATGGATACTACATGTCGATTAGAAAGTATAATTCCCATCTTGGCATCGACAATGAATCCAGTAGCGACAAATGTACCGGGTAATTCGGTATCCAATCCTCGAGCTCTGTATCCTTTGATTGAGACGATACTCTTGATACAAGTATCAATGGTAGTCTCCCAAGTCGTTTTATCATCTTTAAGGACATGCTGGCTAGGGATGATCTGCTCATGGGGCTGTGGAGGGTGTGTCGAATTGGGTATCTTGGTGCCATATGGGTAATCAATCTCAAGCGGTACAATAGTATCTTTGTTGGATAAAATAGGCTCTATTTGTCTTGGCATATTAAAATAAAATATAAAAAGATGAAAAAGAAATAGAGGAATGCAGTCAAATTAAAGGATATAAAGCTTAACATGATGGTATAATATGCATTTTTTGGTTTCTTTGTTTGGTAACTTGCCCTTGTGCACACGTCATTTGTGACATCATGAAGCCCATTGTTGAATAAAAACAATAGACGGATAGAATGACCTATCATTTGATAAAAAGAACAATTGATTGATTGATGAGTGTCTATCTTATTATACAAATATAATTGGGGAAAAAGGTCGCCAAGGAAGTTTGTTACATACCATCAGTTTTGCTATTGCTGATGTAATATACTAACAATGAAATGCGGACAATCAAAACTTACAATGCTGTGATTTAATTAGACATTACAAAAGCAGTGAAGGTCCGTCCCTTAAGATTTAAGCATGGAGACTGAAGGGGCCAGTGTTTATTATTTACAGACTTGAAAAAGCGCATCAATATTTATTTATTAAAAATGGTAAACAAAAGTAAATCAATCATACACAATATACTAACATTACTATACCCATTCTCTCAGTAGCTTTTGTCCATTTCTTATCAAAACGTGTCAAGTGGACTAAGCACACATGATCTGAAGGAAAGAGCGTCATTGTGACAGTAAAATGACCACATTTAACAAGGAGAATAACATTTGGAAATACAATAAACAAAGCAGACAGTATTCAGTTTTAAATTTGCAGGTTATCTAGAAAAGCATATATCAATTGGACAGCTACACCGCATTTTCTGTTGCAAGTAGGGGACTGTTATTATCTTAACTTGGAGCTTCCTTTTTATAAACAAGAGTATTACTGTGCATTTTGTCATGGATTGTTCCAACCCTTAATTTTATTCCATATAAGTTAATTCTAATGATAATTTAAGCTTTACACTCTTCATCGCACGCTTGATGACAGCATACTTTTCATCTTTTCTTTCAGGAAACGTGAAAATGCTATATAGAAAAGAATTTAGTTTAGTTTTTTCATAGAATTTTATAGTTATTACATCGTCTATAGAAGCTGGGTCGTGTTGCTGCAAGATACAACGAGTACGATCGAGTTTGTCCATCATCCATTTGAGCAGTTCTTAATAAAGGATAAGCATCAGCTGGATTGATCATTGCATAATTCAAATAGAGGACCCCTGACCATGGGTTATCCACAGTAGGCGCAACATCTTTTAACTTTTGGTCCCATTCTTCAGCCACCTATAGAAAGATAAGATTAGGGTAAAGAAAGAAAAAGAGACGCTTTCTTACAAATTGAGGCGTTCTCATATATTCTGCTAATATAGGTGTCATCGGTAGTTGTTGAATGCCATGAATGTATTCAATGAATCTTCCGAAATAAGTAGTCTACTATTGTATTAGTATTAGAATAAAAGAGAACTAGTTCCTTACATAGTCTATCTTTTGCTCAAAAAAGATGCCAGCAACCTTGTTCTTTACCATGGCTGGCGGCCTATTCTCGTTACTATCCAACATCCAAAAGTACTCATAGGTCGCTCTCTTCATAACAGCCAACTGAAGGTTTGCAAGTTTTACCAAATCTGTATTCTTTGTAGCCAGGCCCCAGAGCTTCACTCCCCAGTAAAAGTTGACAGACTATTTTATAAAAAAAAAAATAAGTTGTACTATTCATGGTATATACATATAATAGCCTAACCTCAGGCACAGACTCTTGGTCTCGACCATCCAGTGCTCCATTCACCTTTATGCCTCCAGCCCAACTGTGCCCTGCAAACCAATCCCAGTTACGGAACTGAGCAAAATCTGCATTATCACTAGCTTGACAGTTGACGTCCTGAATGAGAGCCTCGGTCCATTTTCTAATTTGATTGGTGTTCCATACAGGATCAAGATAGTGAATAATGGCAGCTAAAAAAAAAATATGAGGATACAGCAAGAAACCCGCATACATTCGCAATACCTGTTACTATAAGATATCCTTGATGATAATGATGATCATTATAATATGAATGTCCAAACGCAGCATCACGATTGCCTGTACCGCCTAATTCTGTTGGCAGTCCATTCAAGGACACAACACCCTTATAGAGCGCATCATATCTAAAAGGATCCATCTGTCGATTTTCTAGGTAAGGCAAGAATGCAGCTTTGATTTTGTTTAGTGACTCTTCAGCAAGCTCTTGATTTTTTAAAGCGGTCTGATTTGGCTTATTTAAGAGTAAAGAGAGTATGGCCAACTTTTGCAAACCTTTTCCAGAAAAATAGTTGTCACCCTTGAGCGTTTCTTCCGTGTAGTTTAAACGAACATCAGATACTAAGTTTTCCATAATCTCATTTCGCGTAGACGCTTCAGGAGTTGGGTTAGACGGAAGCCAGTCAATGCTGCTCACATTCTTTTCAAGCAGGGTCCAAACGTTTCCAACAACAGCTTGCATTATTCCTTTTGTAGATGACTGAAGCTTAAGGTTGGTTTTTTTCAAACTACCATCTCTGATAAACGACTTCATATGGTGAGGGTAGGCGTACATTAACAAATTTTTGGAACGATTTCCTCCTTGTTTCCATTCGATCGTGTAGGAATTTCTATAAGGTATAAGGATAACTCGCACAGTCTTACATTAAAGATATACCTGTTTAGATCAAGCTTAATATCACCTCCAGTTGCCCATGTTCCTCTATTGAAATCTAACACAATTTCGCTCTCTTTACTGGGAAGCTTTGTTACTTGTATGGGACCATTGTACTTGTTGGCCGCTACCAAGTTATTATTGCCAATCTTCTGCAAGGTCAATGGCTCTTTACCCAAGGCGTAAATGATAAAGGTACTAGTAGGATTATCATTGAACGATAATTTAAACTTCCTTCCAGTATATGTGTCGTTTGACTGAAACATATCAGAGCTCACTTGAAGAATAGCGTGCTGTGTAAAGAACTGGGGAGTCAAATCATTATATAATGCGGTAACATATGACATTCCTCTAGCGACCGGGAAATCGATACTTCCCGATTTACTCTGTAATCTGATGTTGGTTCCAAACAGGTCCCAGTTGGTAATCAGAGGTTCTGGTCTCTGATCCTTCCATTCAGCTGAGGTTACTCGAAAATCTACAACAACACCGTTGACAATGTATCCTGCAGGTGTTTCTGGTACATTATTCATAGAACTGTAGGAACCAATGACCTATTGAATAAAAATTATTCTACAAGGCTCATTCCTTCTACTCTCTTTCTCTCTCCTTTGATTTACCTTTTGTGAAGGCTGAGATATAGACAATCCAGGATTTCCTCCAAAGTCATCTAAAAGCCTTAATATATAAGGATCTGGTGTTGTAGGAGCAAGGTTGCCCGTGCTAGGATAAAATAAGTTGCTAATCCAAGAGTTTGTTGGAACAGGCTTTTTGAAGCTAGTATCCGCATAAATAGGTGGGTATGGATGTGATATAGCGGGGAAAACAGATGAAGGTGATTCTCGAGCAAGCATAGCTGAAAGAAACTGAGAAAACTGAGTATAATCACTTTCGTTTAGATGTGCTGCGATCACGGTATGATAGCAAATAGCATAAAATAGCAGTAGGCTTATATACTTCATTGTCAAGTAATTTACCAAAAGAAAAAAAAAAGCAATAGCCTTATTGCCTTTTTATGAATCTCTCTTTTCATCTTAAATACTCTTATAAAGTGCCATACATTCTCAACATATCCGTACAAACTTTATGCTGTCTGTCTGGTTTAAAATCAAAACATTACTTTTATTTTTTGCACTGCTTCATTCTAATAAAGATCATATAAACAATAATAATAAGTTTTAATGATACTCTTTTGTTCAGAACAATGATATCATCTATCTACAAAATATCTTTTAAGGAAGCATTGGCTGATCCTCTCTTTTTCGGTAGTGGTGTATTCTCAGAAGGTTTCCACCCAATCTATATATATATCAAGATTAAGTTACAACTTGTTTTCACATAATTCATTTGTTTCTTTACCAAGTAAATGATCTGAAAAGTAGCAGGAATGGTTCCATCTGGATTGCCATGAAGTTCTAATAATAATAATAATAATAAAAAAGATTAGAATAGCAAAAACAAAAAACAAGCAGAGCCAGTTTTACCTTTGTATATAGGAGCAGCAGCAATAAGTGTGTCCCTAGTTAAGATGTGTTGTCTAATAAAAAATGCATGAGCATGCATTAATACAAACATTACATCATTCTAACCTTGAAGCTACTGCATTATTTTCACCCATTGCCTTTAAATCTTCCATCAATTCAAATGCACTTGGATAATTCACCTGAATCTCGTCGACATCCACAGTTGTCAAAGCGAATCCTGCACGAGTCAGAAGTCTAGACATATCACTAGAATCTATTCAAACTTCAATATATCTCAGGATTTAACATAGTTGTGTGTGCATACCAGCCATAGGAGACACTCTAGGTGATATACCATTCTGTCTCTCAAGCTCAGCAAGTTGCAAAGAAGTTCGTAGTTCAAACAGAGTATCTCCACCAAACATGGCGCCTATAAAGACGCCATCAGGTTTGAGCGAGTTTTTGATCTGAATCAGCGTCCCAGGTAAGTCGTTTACCCAATTCAACGATAAGCTGCTCACCACAGCTTCCAAGGAGTTTTCAGGGAAAGGCAGCTTTTCTTCATCTACCTGCAATCGTTCGACAGGTACTGAGATGATTTTATTACTAATAATTGTTTTGGAAAATGCAGCAAAATGCTTACCTTCGTAGGCGACATCTTTATCTCTAAACAACGCTTTTTCTATTACAACATCCATATCAATATACAATGGCAAATGCGCACTTTTGAATCCAAAAATATACCTGACATGTCGCACATGATAAGCTTTTTCATCATATCTTTTGTAGCATGTTTGATTATATGACCGCTTCCAGAGCCAAGGTCGACTACGGTATCAAAGTCTTTTTTGATATCCTAATACGATATATTAGCAAATGGAACATCAGTTGCTTCTTTTTATTCATATATGCATGCATACCAAGAGTCTGTCTGCAACTCTAGCAGCAATCTCATCTTTTAAGTAATCAACAGTTCGGCTTTCTTCGACATTAGAGGCTGCTCTATCTTTTTGTAAACGTTTGGCGTGTCTATCAAACACATAAAAGGATTGAGGCGTTGTGGCGTAATAACGCCTTTGAATATTGCGTTGCTGTTGTAGAAATAGTCGTTTTAGCATTGAATGAAGAGAAAAAAAGTAAAAACAAGACGCGCATAAAAAATACAAAAGTCACACTGATAGCTCTCTTTCCAGTATTCGCACTTTAAATTCAGACGATGTTAGTTTTTTGGGCGAATCAAAATTAATTTTCAAGTATTTAACTTACCTTTTTGGATGAAATAAAAAAGGAAATTCAGATACAAAAGGAAACTAGTTTCAGACAGTTGAATACTTCTTAGAGTTTCGCCAATTTTGGCCTTCGTTCACCTTAAGATTTGCGTCCAATTTTGTTTTCATCAACATCAACTTTATCAATAATTGACTAAGGAAGTTTGAACAGACGAGAAGCAGCTGCTTTGGACATGCTATCATTGGTAACGGACTTACCAATAATGGGTTTCCTCTTCTCAGTGTTTGTTCTATTGTACTTTTTGTCGCGACAAAGAGCCACTTCGGTATTGCGGGCACCACTAGAAGTGTCGGTATGGTGTTCGATATTACTGAACTGGAACATAATTGTGTGAAGTTTGCATTGAATGTTGTCAAGTACGCGAAATAAAGAGAAGAAAAACAAATGTACAGGAAAGAATAATAGCTACGCGTTTATTAAGTTTTGATTAGACATTGATTATGATTTTAGATATTTCAGTAGACTATATTAGGGTATATGATGCCTCCCATATCAGCTCAATTAATCTCTGCCTGCTGTTGGATACTTTATAAAAATTAATGATACTTTTGAACTAACAACGATATTGTTAATGTCGTTTTTTCTTTATTTTTAAAGGTATGCGTATACCGATTTATCCAAGTGTTGAAGCTTTCATATAAGCTAAAGTCTATAGGAAATTTTTGGGAAGTTTCAATAAAAATTTGTGAATATATCTGTAGAAACATGTAGAAACTTATAGAGAAATCTACAGGTTTATACTCTCAAAGAAAGCAAGGTGGTAGTACCTATAAGAGAATACAAAATAAAAACATTGATTTCCCTCTTCTCTTTTTGATAGGGAGCTTTACTATGTATGGTCTGTCTATATTCTTTTATTTTCTGTTACTACAAGGCTAAACAATCACATTTGGTTTTTTGAATAAAGTTGTCAATTCAAACTATGATATATTACAATTATAAATTATACAACTTTTTACAAATGTTGTCCTTTCATGTTTTTTTTTTCTCTTTGGTACATATGTGTACATCCATCTACCCAGACGTTGAACTTTTTATACAAAACAAAAAGCAAACAAAGCGCAAAAGCCTTCAAGAAGATGCTAGAAATAAACAGCAACAGTTTTTACAAAGAAGTATGCATTATATCTATATGTACCTGAAAATGGCACATACAAGTACAGAATAACACAAGTTGCCAACAGGAGTAAAAAGAAAAGATACTTCTGAAGAAAAAAAAAAAGCAAAGAGTATTACAAAAAGAGCTAAGGTAGCCACTTCCACTAACACGGAAGGCTTGATATGCAAGCCGTACGGCAATGTCGGCCACACATCAGCTAGAAGCAAAGAATGCCCTAATTACAATTTTATTTTAAGTGAGCTAATCAAAAGAAGGCCCGACCAATTATGGCCAAGTACTGTCAGCAGCATGCAAAACCATCGCTACATCATACAACAACTGCTATATTGAAAACTTTCAAAACATTGTTGCAAACTACTTCATCTTCATGATCAAAACATCTTTTTCTGTAAGTGAGAAGCTAAAAAATATGTCCTACATGCTACACAAATTAGCACTAGTTACATAAATGTATAGGATATGAAACTAGGCACAATCAAGCGCCTTGTATACGAACATATTGAGATACTGGTTGTTGCTGTTGTTAATACTCGGTAGTGTGTAGAATAAAAGCAAAGAAGTGATGAGTCTCTGTTTTATCCATTTATGAGAAGTGAGAGGAGGAGCTCATAGCAAAAAGAAATTAGGTCGTTTTAAAAGAGGTCGAAAGAGAATCTCTTTCATACCTTGGTAGTTTACGAGTGACAAGCTAAATACATTTTTTTTACTTGTACAGTCTCGAAGATTTGCAAAACTTGCCACAGCAAAAAGGAAAAATGTCCCTTAATAGTATATATACAGATGGGTTCACATGCAGAGCACCATTCTGCGAGGCTTCTGATGGCGATTTTGTCTCTCTGGAATTGAATGATTTCAACAAAGAAGATATCAAGAAATATTTCAGGCCGTGTACTGTAGATCCCAATAGGATTGATGTATTTGTGTCACTCCATGGAAATAATGGCATTCGGCGGTTGTCCGCAGCAGAATACTATAATATGAATGGAAATAGAAACCGACAGAAAATAGAAGAATAGCGGAAAGAAGAATTAAACATAAAGATTGAAATAGAAATTCCAACCCCTAAAACCGTTTCTGTTGACAAATACCTTTTGCATATCTTATACATGATGGAACACATACATCCCCTTTTCAGTTTCTATGGTTTCAATACTTCAAGAAACAGGTGAAGAAACCATGTTGGATCAAAAAACGCACTGGATAACAGCGTAAATATTTTAATAAATGGGTTGAAAAAGTATAACAAAAGCAGACGAAGACATATCAAGAGTAACAAGAGGAAAAGGAAAAAAACGAGAGAAGAAATAGGGCAAAATAGACAAGAGCAACATGTCCAGCCAAACAGAGTTGTCAGGTATACTACAACAACTTTTCTCAATCGGACTATTCGTTATATTAATTAACACAACTTTAAGAAATCACAAGCCCCAATTTCAAGTTGGCGATCAAACAAAAATGCCATTGGTAATTTTCGGAGACGGCATGAAAAATAAGGACCATGTCAAGTTCAAATGTCTTTGGCATGGTGTCTCTGGCAAGCTATACAAACAGCTTCAACGACGTGAGAGGTTAGGGGAGCTTATCCTCCTAGATATAAACGAGTATAATGCCTTGAAGGTATAGAAAAACAACATTCATTTAATATCGATAGTCGTATAATAAAATATCACTTTTCTATAGACCTATAACAGCCGCTTGTAGAGCAACTTGAAAAATCTAAGGTGTGGAAGCGGCGAAGATGAATGCAAGATCCATCAAGTATTGATTTGCGAAAGATGCAATATTTTTTGGAATCATGATGTCATGCCCGCTGAAAATATGCTTACCATTGCCGAATCCATCTGGAATGGCAATGGTCGACCCAATGTCTTTCAGCGACAAAGCACCGCCTCCAATGTGGTTGCCGCGTCTCACCAGAGTGAGACGACGGCTTAAAGATATTTGCAGGTAAAAAGAGCAATCATTATTTTTAAATTGTCTGATCTGAATTTCCTTTTTTATTTCATCCAAAAAAGGTAAGTTATATACTTGAAAGTTAATTTTAATTCACCCAAAAAACTAACATCGTCTGAATTTAAAGTGCAAATACTATATCAAGCGATCTTTTTTTAGAAATCATCAAAATGTTTAATGATATGCATATATTAGTTAATGTATTATCTATTATTAAGTTGATTGCTTAATTCAGTCAATGCAAATGCTAATTAAGGGTTGCTTTGCTGGGGTTTGCCTTTTATCGTCACCATTGTCTATTTTGATCGGTATACAAAGTAAACTGGGGACAATATTTGATGAGGGGATTGTCTTTTTGTCTTATTTCTCAAAATCATATCTCTGGTCACATCTGTGATATATCTGCTGTATTCTTCTTCTTCATGTATGCCCTTTCATAGTGTTGACTATATCCTAAACATGTGTTAACCACAGTCATAATCATAAATACTATGTTTACTTTGGTTCAATTTCCTATGGCTGAATTAGAAAGTAAAATACTGAGTTGATAACTGCAAAGTTAACTTTATTATAATATTTTATGATTCATCCGTTTCCTCTGTCTGAATACGTCGAAGTATATATATTTTAGGTGCTGTATGTATTTGCAGTAACCCAAAAATGCTAATAACCTCATGCTTATTTTGCTGAATATCACGATTTTTATAAGGAGGTATCATTAGCTTGATATAGTCTATCCCATATGTCCGATAAATCACTTCATACTGGGAACTATTGAAACTTTCTGGGTTGGCCGTTAACAAATGGGTGTAACGAGCTTTAATAAAGTCCTCTTCTGCCACATGGGATTCGTTTTTAGAGTACTTCCACTGTGGATTGAGTTGTCCAAAAAGCGAAGCACCTGTCATCGCCGTTTCGGGATCCAAATGTACAGCAACAAATGGTGTGTTCTTCTCAATTAGATGTAGCGCTCTTAGTGCATCTCCGCCAGGGTAGTTATAAGAAGATATCCGAAACATGATCAAGGCTATACACGCTGAACCTAACACAGCACTGATCACGATACATGTGGTAACATAATAAAAATAGGATCGACAACGTTGAACAAAAAGCGCGTTCATTTGTGTTGCTGCTGCTGCTGTAAATACAGGGATAGTGTACATGATGAATCTCCATTCTTTGTGAGGGACAATTGAGAATATAGAAATGTAGATGATAACAGGAATAAGCATCCGTCTGACCCGAATATCCCGAACAAAGGCAATAATAGACAGCGGATAGGAAGCCAACAGTAAACGAGGAAGGAAGTGAAGAAAGTAAGCATGAAAAGGTAATGTTCCCCAGTCTGAACTCTTGTTGAGAATAGCATTAAAGAAGAATACTTCGCCCTCGGGCCATAGCCAGCGGTTCCAAAAGTAAGAGTCAAGTGGTACAGTAATTATTAGACTAATTAGAGCAGTCAACACCATGGTCCGGATCATGCTGAACAAGGGAAATCGATTCATGACCCATTCGCTGGCTAGCAAGACGACCAAGAGGATGCCCACTTCAAATCTAAATACAACACCAGTGAATGTAAGATACCGAGTCATCCATGTTAAATGGTACGTACGTTTGTGCGATTCAGCCATACTTGTGAGCCAATGACATAATCCGATATTGACCCAAGGTAACGCCAGCGTGTTTGGTAAAGTACGAGAAGACCAAAATACGAGATGAAACTGACAAAGCATCAGTAGGACAGTCAGTCGTGCTGTATTCTTTCCAAACAAGACGCGTACTCCTCGAGTGAACTGAGCGATGGATAGGACAACAAGGGCAGCAAGTGTGGCACGAACAAGCAGCTGTTGATAAAACAAGTTCAAACGAAATAATGTGATCCATGGCCAACATAAGGCGGTCAACAGGGTTGCACCTACAAACGTTCGCGGCACAACCCCAGGGAATTGTAAGTGATCGTAATGGTCCACTTGATTAAGTAAGTCATGAGTTGCTTGTAAGTTGAAACTTTCTTCTACTTTTGTAAATGGTGCAAAATAGATCTCGATTGCCATCAAGAAGAATAATCCTGTAAGCACGAGATTCATGTCGATTACTTTACTATAAAGAAATAAAAAAATTAATGTCTGACCAAAGTGCAACAATTCACCCTTTTAATGCTAGGTAACACATTCTAAAATTACTTTTTCTTAAACCCCCCCTCCCCTTTTTTATTATTCTTCTTTTTCTTTGTTTCTCTCTTTTTCTTTCTTTCTCTCTTTCCAAATATTACAATTATCACCATTCTTCAGCTAATAAAGTCCAGGATATTTGATATGAAAGAAGGCTTTAGGTCAATAGAAATTGAACCTAGAGAAGCTCAGATTGATTTCATTGGTCCAGCAAGATCAGAGAATTCAAGAGAGCCAACGACGTTATTAAAGGGTGAAGTACGAATAAAGCTTGTAAAGGCAGTAAAGATTCGGAATATGTACATCAAATTCAAAGGATTCAGTCAGATCACATTACCCAATAATACCATATCTGTACCTTTATTACCTAAACTCAAGCTCATGCTGTCGGGTAAAGCAACTTTGCCAGCTGGGGACCATGTTATACCTTGGGAGATGGATATACCAAACATATACCCTCGAAGCCTATTGACAAAACGCGCAAGTATTACTTATAAAGTCATCTTGTCTATATCAACTGGGTTAACAAAAGTTATTACCACTGAATATCCAATCATCATATACCGACATCTATTACCTTATAAAGAATTAGCGCCCATCATAGAAACAAAGATCACCCAAAGAACAATACCTGGTAAATTTCACTACGAGATTGATGCACCACAGATCATCTGTCTCGAACAAGAATTTGTTCCCATGGCTATTAAATACGTTAGCTTTACTAATCATAGACATGTTCAATCTATACGAACTCGTTTAGTTCAGATCGAATTTTATAGGTAAGAATAAAGAAACAATCAAAGCGACACTTCTGACTTGTAGTAAAAGGCGGCAATCACCTTCCAAGTCACAAACAGACTTATCTTCCTATAATGTGGACTCACTTGTGTTTGATCTTGATCAAAAACTAGTTCAGTCCAGATATTTAAAGGACTCACATGCAAAGTATATAAAGCGTACCATACCAGCTCTCATTCATTTTCCTGATCCTAAAATATCTGCTTGGAAGAGACCCTTTCTCGTTCGTCACAGAATTCACCCTTACTTGTCATGTACTATAGAATCACCGCTTGTATCCATTTACCATCAAATTGAAGTCACTTTCCAGTTTGGTATGAAGCATGAAGAAGTAAAGGCAAAGATTCCTATCATCATTGCTTCAGTCCCCAAAAAGGAACCAAGTTTCTCTGATAGCAGTATGATGCGCTATGCCTTTGAAGAAGTAGCCCAGTCAGACTATCTACCCTACCAACGGGAAACTCGATCATCTGCAGATCAAATCACCGACGAAGAGACTCAGGATGAACACTTTAGTGTCCTACGTGATAATTGCATGATGCCAGCGACCAGTGATGACGACGATGATGAGGTCACCCAAAATGTTGCTGCAACAGCAAAGACTCTTTTAAAACCAACCTACACTACAACCTATAATCCCCAGTGTCAGTCCAGCCTCGCACAGAGAGCTCTTTCGCCTACAATGGATAGTAGTACCCTCTTGGTAAACAGGTCTATCAAGAAATTTGCTTCTGCTTTTGATCTTAGTAGTGGAACTACCTCACGAGAACTACGCTCACCAGAACCTCAAGAGCTTCCAGAAGAAAGACCAAGAACTGCGACGCCTACGATGAAACGTCAGCACATCTACAGAAGAATGCTTTCGCCTATTAATGTTGACCTTGCTAATGGAAAACTAGGAGTTCCACAACAGATGCCTCCAAACGATGAGGGCTACCAGGCTCATACAACCGAGCCAAATTCGATTGCTAGCTCACCTAGTTCAGATGTTCTTCCTCCATTGGATAGAGTCAATCAAAGCTCAACTCGACTACAACGTGATGCCCTTGATTCCACAATTATGCCTGCGCAAGATATAAATGAGAATTTCTCCAATGATTACAATGTAGCTACTTCAAGCAATAGAAAACATATAAAAGAGCTCGGAGAAGACGATGTAAAGTCTATATATTCAGATACTTCCAGCATAAATGCCCCCAGCCTTAGTTCTTCTGCTACACTATCAACAAACAAAAGCCATCCTACACTACATTCGCGTCCTCCTTCTCCTGTATTTAGTCCAGCACCTGGCTTACCTGCCACTATACCCCTCCGTTCACAAGACTTTCAAGCATCGCAAGTCGAAGAAACCTTTGCTGACGCAGCCATGTCGCCAGCTATGAATACCATTGCATCTTCCACACTATTAACTCCACGAACAAGCTATGCACTACGCCGTCGTATTGCGTTGTCCACTATATCTTCACTTACTTCAGATTCGTTTCAACTGGGCCCTTCCATGATGGCTAGTCGAGGAAGATCGTTATCTCAAGCTACTGTAGATCCTGAAGTACAATCTGCCTTTATGATGAGTAGCTGCTATAGTGGTACAACAAACAGCGACTATTATGCTATACCCAGAAGCCATAATAGCACAGAGCTTCGATATTCCTCTCTCACTCAGAGATATATGAATGCAGCATTACCACCCATTCCAAATTCTGTAACTATAAACAAACGGCTTACCAAGATTTATCTAGAAGACAGTGATGATGAGAGCTTTGGGGATATTGACGAACTTCCCTCTCGATCGATTCCTCCACCACCACCACCACCTCAAGATGATCATGCACCTCCACGGCTGCCAAGACTGTCTTTTGGTAAAGACCTCAGTATCTCATTAGGCCTTAATAACTAATAAAAGCCACATGTTGTATGATTGTATGCTTATTGATCTTATAAACAACAGAATGTCATGTATTTTTTTTCTAAGCTTTCTATCATATGAAGAAATCTGGTCTTAAACAATAAAATTGCTGTGTTTTGAATCCATCTAAAAATTCTGTGCCTTTTTTTTTGTTCTTTTCTTTTTTTACTCATGTATAATACACCTAAAAGGTTTCCACCCGTCTGTAGATTCTATTCACAAGGCACATGTAGAGCAGGTCAAAACTGTAATTTTGCTCATGTATTGCCTTTTGGAGATAAAGCAAACGGGAATAGTTCTGACAAGGATCCTTATTCGATTCAAAAAGCAATTCGAGATTTGGAAGTAGAGCAAGTTGAAAAAAAGTATAAAGCCAATATAAAAAAGACAACGTAAAGCATACCAAAGAAAGAATGGGGAGAATAAATCAACAGAAAAATGCTGATATGTGAAAGAATAGAAATTATCAAAATCATACGTCAATTGAACTTGCTTTGCCTTTAGAAAGTGATAAACAAATAGAGGTTCACTTGGTCATACCTTATAACTATCCTGATTTACAATGTACACTTCAAATATACAACTTAGACTTGATGCCTGAAATACAAAGGTATATCCTAGGATGGAACTTTTTTTTTTGAATACTCATACTTTAATAGCAAAATACAGACAGCATTTGAAGATGACGAGTGGCACCAAATGAAGCATAAGACCTTGATTCAACAGCTGGACTGGTTAATTACTCATTTTAACAAGTTTATTTCATGACAACAAATATAATTTAAATAATAAACGTGATGTGTAGAGTTTTTTTTATTTATAATTTGACCATGGCATTTTTTGGTGTACAGTGCGGCTGATAAATTTTTTGATGTAGTATACGAATTTATGAAGTATCATCATAATTACACTTCGAGCTTTGTGATCTTGGTTGTGGTAATCTT